CAAGAAGAATCCTAACCTAGAAACAGGAATAAGAGCAAAAGAAAGAAATTGAAGCTGAAAACAGGGAAAGCGTACGGTGACCTCGGTCACCGCGAATTTTGTTGGACGCCATGTAGATCCCCAGGATCACAAATGTCTGTACGGTCAAGCTCAGTTTTTCACTAGCTCTAAATGCCTTGCTGACAGGAAATGATAGTTGATGCATTTTTTCAAGTTGACAGCATTGACACACCTGGTCATTGACATGCATTCTGGAAAGTCTTTGATCAAGTCATTAGTTTGCTTGTATTTCAATGCTTTGACGTTAAAATAGCCATATCTCTTATGCCACAGAATTGTATCATCAGCCTTAGAAGCATATAAGCATTTTTAAATAGATTACATATCTAGAAGAAAATTGTTCTTGACCATCTCAACTCAAGCAACCTTGATTCCACATGAGTCATGAATATAGCAGAAATCGTGTTTAAATGTTAAAGAATAGCCTTTTTTCATCATCTGAGCAACAGACAACAAATTTTGACTCAAACTGGGCACAAGTAACGTCTGAAATTAGCTTGTTACCTAACTTGTTGGGGTTGCTGCTATTCCTTTTCCTTGTGACAAAACCACAGTGCCGTTTCCAAGCTTGACACTTGTCTTGACTGATTTGTCCAGGTCCAAGAAAATACTTTCATCTCAAGCCATGTGGCTTGTACAACCACTATCAATATACCAAGAACTGGCAGAAGTTGAAGAACTGCTCGAGGAGGCCACAAACAAGTAATCTTGTTGTGCATGGTCATCAATGTAATTTGCTTACTGTTGTTACTTTTGTTTGTACTGAGGCTGCTATGCTTATTAAATTCGATAAGCTTGTTTAGCTCTGCAATCTTTCTCCATAAGGCCATATTTTTTTACAAAATCTATAAAAGACTTGAGGATTTCTTTTAAATCAACATCTTCTTTCTTCATGGTTGGTTTTTTGGCAGTGTCTACAAGGAGGAAATCTCCCTCTTCTTGCTTGAGAAAGTTGATAGCTTTGTTGACTTGAGCTATCTGATATCTTTTCTTTTTCAAATTCTCTAGAGTCTAGCGTCACCACCGTTTGCTTCACTTTTTGACTTGCTTGAAAGGCTTCTTTAGGAACTTCTTCACTTTTCATAGTTAGCCTTTGCTCATGAGCTTTTACCTTGCTAGTGAGCTCAGAAATGGTAAGCTGATTCAAGTCACAGGACTCTTCTATAGCTGAGATCGTCAATTCAAACTTGTCTAGTACACTGAGCATTATCTTATCAACAACTCTTTTATCTGGAAAATCTTCAACTTGAAATCTAATTTGGTTGACGATATCTATCAGCTTGTTTGAATATTGATGAACTGTCTCTGTCTCTTTCATGGTTAACATTTCAAACTGCCTTTTTAATGTAAGCAAGTTATCTTTCACTTTGCTATCAACCTCGAACTCTTTTTGAAGAGTATCCCAAGTACTTTTTGCTGTTTCTACTCTCATAATCCTCAAAAATACAAAGTCTGCCACACTACTATGGATGAATGAAATAGCTTTGTAGGAGGCTTGAACATAATCTACATGTTGCTCCAACTGTGCTACAGTTGGATTGTTTGGTAGCCTGAGAGGATTAAAGCCATTTTCTACTGAGTCCCACACATCGTTACCTCTCAAGAATGCCTTCATTTTGATGGCCCAAATATTATAGTTCTGGCCTGTGAATAGAGGACGATTGGAAAGAGATCCTGTTGTTGTCTTATTTGTAGTCATGGCTGTGTTTCTTTGCTAGCACAGCTTCTTTCCCTCACAAGCTCTCTTGTTTACTCTCTCTCACACACTCCTCTCACTGCTTTGTTCTCGCAGTTTCCTCAAGAAGTGAAGCTCATACCAATTGATGGATTTTTGGTCGAATGAAATTCAAGAACAAGAACTTAGATCATGAAAAAGATAGTGATGAAAATATAGGTCTGGATTTTCATTTTTCCAGCCATTCTCTCTTTCATTTCTCTTCATTTTTCATACAAGAGAAGGTTACATAAAGAAAGGGATTATATTGCTCTGTATCCCCTCAACAGTCAGAGAATTACAATTAATGTATGTTTGTTGAAATGATGACATCAAATCTCAACTTCCTACCAAGTTTAAATGTCAAGTTCAGCTAATAAGTAGAGTTACAGTGCAAAAAACAGCACCTCTGACGTTAATAGCATCTTTGACAGAACATAGGAGATTGCTTCCAGGAGAAACACTAAGCTGTCTACAGTAGTTGGTGTAGAGGTTTGCCCTGGCCTGATCCAGATCAGGTCGTTTTCCATCACATTCAACTGGACCATTAATAGCACGAGTCGTTGCACCGAACCCTTGCCCCACTACAGGACGTACTGCAGTCATCCAGTACCATAATGCAGTCTTAAATGACACAACAGGGTCAGTGGACACAGTTTCAGGATTATTCAGCAAATCCAGCCCCAGAGCCTCTCCGGCTGCTCCGTAGTTCACGTTCCAGCTTAGCTGGAGTGGATCTCGGCCATAGTAGGACTTGCCCGGAGCACATGGGTACGTAGTACTTGATTGGCAATATGTGTTACTCTTGTCAATCTCTTCTGTGTAACAGAAAGCTGACAAAAAGGAGCATTAGTAAATTTTTTAGTTAGATATATACATTCAAACTACCACTATTTTTATTTAAGCTGTGAGGTGACAGGACGCGGGATTTTAAACTATATGTTAATAGATTGTTAAATTTAAAAGTTTTAGCTGTCAGATACCAGTTGAGTTCAGGAATTAAAATAATTCGTCAATACTTACATCCAGTCTCATGTGATACTTGGGCAAAGAAAGCAGCAACCTCGCGCTTGTTGTCATCAGCAGAGCCTAGTTGTCCAAAGTTGGGGAAGGAATTGAGAGCGCTAAGGAAGGCGTCCCGGGTGTAAAAGCTCTTCCCAGCACAAACTGCGGGAGCATTGTTCTTGATGCCATCAAAGAATTGGGGTGTGACAGTGCTGTTCACGGACTGAGCCATTACGTTTCCAGGCACCGGGGCAAAAAGAATGCTGGCAAGAAGGATGGTTAGTAGAGATTTTTTTATAGAAAAGGAAGCCATTTTTTGGAAGGCAGGAGGAATGAAGATTTTGTGGTGGATTGAGGGGCTGAGATCGTGTACCATTTACAGTGCTGACAGCTGAGGAGGCCAGGTTAGCAAGCTGGTTCCACGTCTAATCAATTTGAACATGTATAGCTTTAATTTCTTGGGACGTATTGACCACGTATCATTGAAATTTCACTACGCGGGATGCCCTCTTGCCTACCTAACTTGACTCTTCAACTCAAAAGATTGATTTTTGCCTAGAGTCCAGCTTTTGATGTTGCAGAAAGACTGTAGTTTTCAACTTCTAGTTTTACGAAGGTTCATCTCAATTTCTAAGGTGTGGTGGGTACAGCACGTTGCTTGGGTTGGGTTTCCATTGACCATTCAACCCGCGGACAAAAGATAGCACTTTAATTTCTTTTGCTTAGAGGAACAGGGAACACTTGTTCCAATACTTCTTAGTTAACATCTTAATTTGTTTTAAGAATTTAAAAGTTACAAAGATTTCTAATTTAAATCAAGAGTAAGTCATCTATGGTTACTCTTTTTTTATGTGTATGTACCAAAACTTGTGTTCGAACTTGTTTCCCCGTCATGATGTAACTAATAACACTTCCTCCCATACCATCTTCACTGCGAAGAGATATTTTTCGATTGATGGGTTATTGAAACATCCTTAGGATATAGTTTATTCATCTTCGGATTCGATTTTTCATGCCTTTGTACCGGAATGCTTGCCGATGATGATCTGGCTATGTTGTCATCGTCATTCAGATGCACAGCACCTGCCTCAGGTGCCCCTTCCTAGTCAAACTATTACATGAGATTAGAGTAATTTTAACGTGAAGTCCCCGAAGTTATCAGCAAATTGGCCTTGTCATGTAACGTTATTCTATAATTTCTATCGGAGATAAATCCATACTTGTTAGTATTACACAATAGAAGAGTTGGTCAATGCGCCTGTGCATGCAGGAAATGATGACACAAATTAGACATCCCTTCCGCAGAAGAATGCCACCTCTTGTCCTGTCAACAAAAGTCTTCATCCTGTTTCTTATCCTATACCTTTTTTCCTTCGTTCTTCGATAGAGATAGCAACAACAAATTCGAATGTTAGTTGGTAAAGAGAAGCTATTGATGGTAAGATTAGCAGAGATGCTAGGCAGTTTTCGACTTACACGTGATGATACCCATACTTTCGTTTTAATTTTCATGCATTTACCACAATTTCCGCCGCATAGCAGGTAAATATGTATCTCATATATAAAATAATTAAACTAGAAAACTTGTATAACTTTCTTTTGGTAATTGTACATACCATGATATTTTTGCTTCAATGATTTTTATTTAGATAAGACACTCTTCATATGTCTTCAACAAAATTAAGGGGAAAAAAAAAAAAAACCAGATACTTGCACAGAAAATGCAAAAAGTAGTTATAACTTAAAAGAGCTCTTGAGAGTAAAAAACTAGATGTTTGATATTAAACAACCACAAGGACACCAAGGGGTCTGGGTGAAACATAATTTCTACTGTGTGTGGACAAAAGTGAACAATCCCCTTGCTCGTAAGGATCAGGGTAGCATACAGCTGGTAGTGGACATTATTTTTCAATACAAGAAGAGAAAATACAACATTGAAAATAAAAAAGTACAAGACTCAGTACAAGACTCAGTGAAACATCTGTACAGAAGAGACAATGGAGCTAAACATCTGGTATCATCTACACGGGTGGTATATTGGAGAAGGAGAAACCTTTATATCCCTTGTATGCATAGTATGCGATCCGTGTATAATAGAACCCAGGAATAAACAAAATGGCACCAAGTATTGTAAAGAAAAGCCCTGTCACATCAAAAAAGGAAAGGGAATAATAAAGCTTAACAAAGCTTAACAAAGCTTAACAACAGCAGATATAGAAGGTCAATTGTTCAGTAAATGCAACTAAGTACTCTTCTGAATAGGAATCCATTTCTTTTTGTAAAAGATCCTGGTTTTCATTTTTTAATGATTGATAAATTCAACTTACATCTAATTTAACAATTTAGAAAGAAGAATATTTACAGTAATTCTTCTCTAAAGCTTATAAGGTAAGAGAGGTATTCAAATCAGAAGTTTAGCTCCTAATCCTAAGTAATATTATTTCCAAAACATAATAACCTATGCATGTTGCCACATCCCTGATCGTTGAAATCCTGATATGGATTCCACCATCCATCTGTCCTAGTAATGGAAAGCCTTTTCAATTTCAACAGCATCCCTATTTTGTTGATAAATTAGATATTATCACAAACCGTCTCTGCCAGATGATTTTGAAAGTGATCCCGTATGTCCTTGAGGATTATCCAAATATCCTGGTAAAGAAAAGCATTTTACCACATCCAGATAGGATGTTCATAAATGTTACATTGTCTAAAAATCATCCTCTCTTCTAAAGGATTATTCAAAGAGACATCCTATCTCAATTTCAGTTCAGTAGTAGGTGTTGATTTATAACAGTACATTATCTCTGTCCAGACAAGGAGATTATTCAAGGACATAACTTATCTCCATTACCAGACTGTTAACTGTATATTCACCATTCGAAAGTTGAATCTGTTTTTCTGACTCTGCTTTTGGAATGCTAGAAAGACTATTTTTAAAAGATTTCAACTTTCAACTAGATCAATTAACATCCAGCAAAGACATCTTCTTCTAATCTCTTATCTCACATTACAGCAGAATAATTTAATCCTCATCTACATTCAATTGAAACCTCA